GCATTAGCCAAGCGGCCCAAGCCTTTATTCGATTGGATAGATTGTCTTATCCACCTAGATTTTTAGCATTCACCATGTCATGGCAAACTCACACTGACCAGGAAACCCTGCTTGCTCGGTTGCCTCACATTTTCCTTCACCTGCCTGTCCTTTCTCTTCTATTTCCTGCTACACCTCACTTTGTTTCTTTTGTTTCTATTTTCCTGAAAACACAAAACCCATTTCACTTCTCATCAACCAAAACCCCTTTTTTAATTGAAGGAAACTAGTAAAGAATGAAAAGAATGTCCCTTTGTTCCTCCTTTAATGCATCCACCCTCCATTCTGCACAGCCCCAAATCTACAAAACTCGGTTCTCCTCTCAGTTCATCAGACAATTTCAGGTAAATTCAATATCTTACGCTTTAGCATCTTCATCTCAGAACATATCAAAGCCCTTGGAGATTTGGAGACAGAGATTCAAACCCATTACAGCTTCAGCAACAAACAGTGTTGAAACCACTAAAGCATCATCCTTTAGAAGCAAAAACCCAAAAGATATTAACATTCTGGTGGCGGGTTCAACTGGGTATATTGGAAAATTTGTAGTTAAGGAGCTGGTTGATAGGGGGTTCAATGTTATAGCCATTGCAAGGGAGAGGAGTGGAATCAGGGGTAGGAATAGTAAAGAAGATACCTTGAATGAATTGCAGGGAGCCAATGTGTTTTTCTCAGATGTTACCGATTTGGGTACTTTGGAGAAATCTTTGCAGGAATTAGATTTATCATTTGATGTTGTTTTGTCTTGTCTTGCTAGCCGGACTGGTGGTGTTAAGGATTCCTGGAAAATTGACTATGAGGCAACAAAGAATAGTCTTATTGCTGGTAAGAAATTAGGGGCATCACATTTTGTGTTACTTTCTGCTATATGTGTGCAAAAGCCCCTTCTTGAATTTCAGCGGGCAAAGCTGAAATTTGAAGCTGAATTGATGAAAGCAGCTGAATTAGATAATGGATTCACCTATAGCATTGTGAGGCCAACTGCATTCTTTAAGAGCTTGGGGGGTCAAGTTGAGTTGGTGAAAGAGGGGAAGCCTTATGTGATGTTTGGTGATGGGAAGTTATGTGCTTGTAAGCCAATTAGTGAGCAGGATTTGGCTTCGTTTATTGCAGATTGTGTGTTGAGTGAGGATAAGATTAACCAATTATTGCCAATAGGTGGCCCAGGGAAGGCATTGACACCATTGGAGCAAGGGGAGATATTGTTTAAACTTCTAGGGAAGGAACCAAAGTTCCTGAAAGTGCCAATTGGGATAATGGATTTTGCCATTGGGATACTTGATTTCCTTGTCAAGATATTCCCTGCAATGGAAGATGCAGCTGAGTTTGGAAAAATCGGAAGGTATTATGCAGCTGAGAGTATGTTGGTTTTGGATCCTGAGACTGGTGAGTACAGTGCTGAGAAAACACCTAGCTATGGAAAGGACACCCTAGAAGAATTCTTTGAGAGAGTGCTGAGGGAGGGCATGGCTGGTCAGGAATTGGGAGAGCAAACAATCTTCTGAAAGTTATCCTCTGATTTAAGATTGTAAATCAAATTGTTCTTTTCGACCAGCCAGTTTTGTGATACGGCTTATTAAAGGTATCAATTTTGCTAACTTGAAAGGCATCCAGCCATTGTATGAGTTGAAATCTACATGCTTCTTGTAAATCTCATTTACGAAATTATTAATTTAGTCCCTGGTGAACAGCTTGGTGCGACAAGCTAGTTCATTTTTCATACATAATTGTACCTGTTGTAGAAGTCATGTATGCTAAGGTGCAAAAAGTTCCTAAAATTGTGTTTTTGCTAGTATATGAGGTTGTGTCTGTATTAATTCCAAGCTTCAGCTTGTATATTTTATACTTCTTCAATCTAACAACCGACGATCAGAGGAAGACTTGAGGCAGCAGTATTGAGCAAATGGGGAAGTTCTGTTGCGCAGAATCTGATGATGGAGGTTTAGATCTCACCAGAGTTGTCATGGCAATAATCATAGCTCTAGCTATTATGGCTGTCTGCATGCCATCTCCATCACGACTGCCAACTCTTCATCAATAGTCCTACCGATCTGTATAACTACTCTCTTAAATTGTTATCTCATTAAATATTGAAATTCTTATTTTACAATCTAAAATACACATTAAAAGTACAGTTCACCTTATAATTTACTAAAATATCTTTAATGAAATAATATAAGAAATAATTTCATTAAATATATTTTAATAAATTCATAATATAGACTATACTTTTAATGTGTAATCTAAACTATAAAATACTTTTCCATTAAATATTTTGTTTACATCTTATACAATTGTGTTTATGTAGTTAATGAATCAGATTGTTTGTGAGCTACCTCCTGAGCACTCTCTTTCCAATTCTAGACCTCTTCGAGATTCACTTGGCAATACTCCACTTCAGGTATTTTTAGCTGTCAACAATTTGCAACAAACCATTGGCTCTACATGAAATGATCTATCGACATTTTGTTTTTGAATTTCAGCGGTTTATTTTTATCTGCTAGCTAGATTGGAATCATGGATTATACTTTAGTAAAAGTCACGCATAATGGTCTCAGAGCTCATGCAAAATTCTTGCATTGTCTCAAGTAACAGCACGGATCATTTTTCTCTTGCCTTCGTTCCATTATGAAATTCGAATAACTTCATGACGCGACAATTTTATCTCTCAAACCCCAAGAATCTTCAAGATTCAGTTGGTGGAGTTGCTTTTGTTTTCATTTACTCATTCAACCTTTGACCTAGATATTTGAAGATTCTTGCAGTTTTGCTTGGATGAAACCGCTATTCGAAACACAACAAATATTTACATTGTTGGGGTATTGTTTCATTCTGCAAAAATTGATTTTGTTAATCTACAAGTAAGTTCTTCCTCATTATTGCCTCCTTCACACCAATTTTAATGTCATTTTGCTCTGATACTGGTTCAGGTTCTTGCGGGTGCTGTATTGGGATGTCACAATGCGCTATTCAAAGGGAGGTTGGTGCGTGATGCTAGAAGGTGAAGATTCCATATTTCTTTGGAATCCTTCTGCTAAGAAAACCAAGTGTCTGTTAAATGTGAAAAGGTTTCTAATTACATCTTCACCTTACTCTTCAGATTGTGTTATTGTTTTACTCCCTAATTACAATGATTATTATTTCATTGACTTTATCTTCTTAAATGGTGATGGAAAAAGAACCAGATGACTTAGTTTCTTTGCACTATTCTACCGTTGGGAATTCAAAGTGACTAATCACAATAATCCGGCATTTTATAATGGGGAATTCTACTTTCTTGGTATGAAGAAAAATTTAGTGGCTTTGAGTATGGATGATGAAGAGAAGGTATTTTTTACTCGAGTGTCCCTTGTGACTTTCGCCAAAACTTTCTATTAAAATGTGATGAGGAGCTTCTTTTTGTGTTTGTGGGCTTCTTAGGGGAATGGACTCAAATTTCTACGCTGGATTACATTGTGAGGGATTATAAGCAACAATACTCTAAAAATCATTAAGTAAAAATTCACTTATACAATATATTTATATAAAATTTTAATCATTTATATTTTTTACTTTTAATAATTAAAATTTATCATAATTTTTTTTAAAAAGATAATTATTTTAATAAATATAATAAAAATAAATAAATATCAATTATTAAAAATATAAATATAAATGATTTGAGATTATGTACAAATAAATTTTAACTCAAAAACATTATAAACTACCGGTGCCTTACACAGTGTGATACCTTGTAGTTTGCACAGTTAATATCAAGTTCAAATATCCCATTCAACACAATGACCAAATTAGTGTTGATGTGTTATCTCTAAAATCCTATTGGTCACACCTCAAGGCAAAACTTGTAATAAAAGTGTGCCACTTCTTTTACAAGAAAAGCAGGAAAAGGATAACACATGATATCATCTCAAAAATTTGCTAATTGTAAAAAAAAAAAAAAAAGTTCATATCATTCTAAACAATAGCTGGACCAACATAAACATAAAATGTGCGTCATCTACGCGACATGTAACATAAGAAACTACATAAAAGTGGATTAAATCTTTGCATTGTGTGGGGAGGAGTGGGTGTTGGGACCTCCAGAGGATTCACCAGCAGCAGTAGTTCCTCCTTGCATGGCAAGAGGGTCATGATGAGGCTCTGCAGGAGAGACAATAGGGTCATGTAATACCAAGTTACTAACTCCAGATATGCCCCCAAAAAATTAATTAAGACACAGCAAACTCAGTACTAAATTAACTCACCGCCTCCAGTTGCAGTAGATTTCATGACATTGGCAGTCAGTGGCGTTGTCCTTGTAGAGCTGGACTGCAATCCTCCCTCAAAATTGGAGGAAACATTTAAGGACCCTGCAGGTTACAGAAAAAGCTAGAACAATATTATTCTACAATTAGAAGAATGTCAAAAAAACTATAATAATGCAGCAAAATATATCCATACCCTCCATCAACATTTCAGGTTCAGGGCAAAATTCGCGAAGAGCAGCCATGTTTAAAAACTCATCCTCCTGAAATTTAAGAGAAAGAGTTGAAAAGATTCAGATAAAGGGCAGTAGAAGGAAAACATGAAATAGTCTAAAACTTTTGAAAACATGGACACAATGTGTGGCTTAGGGGCGGAATCAGGGTCCATTTGTGGGTATGTGTAGGGCTGTGATGTAATAATGCAGGAAAACATATTTTGTTGATGTATACCATGTCACGTTTAACTTTGTTTATGCCTAATTTTGTTATGAAATGCTTATGCTAACTGTCATGACTTGATCCGTACATTGCTAATTATCTAAATTATGCGTAAGCAAAATCTGTCAAGAGCATTTCTATTGCTCTTCTAAATTCAGTAGATTGTTTTTAGCATGTATTAAAATTCACTAATAATTATATATGGCTCAGTCATAGGTTGACGCCAGGCTCACCGTTGTTTATATCATCTCATTTCAGACTAGCTAGCTTAAGAGGTGTGCAAAGTGTAGCTGACATTAAACCTACTACTCCAAATTAGTAATGCAAACCCGCATATTTACCAGAAGTAGAATTTGGCTCCGTTATTTTGTAGGCCTTTTGTATCTAATTAAGCTTTACTAATATCAAGAGAAAACCATCTGCTCTCTGTGTAGAGCTCCGCTCTTCCATGGAGAACCACCTCCATGCTTCTGAAGGACCTCCTTCTTAATATCCTGCTTCTTGCCATACAATTTCTTTGTCTATTGATTTCTTGCTTTTCTCTTCATTTTTAATCGATCTTCTAGCAATTTATAGCTTTAAATCCCTACTTTGCCCTAATCAAAATTTCTAAAAATCTAAAAATCAAAAACCCTAAAAATCCAAAATCAAAACCAGTTTACTCCTTTGATTTGTTACTGAAATTCTGATTGGGATCTTATGGATTCTTTTAAGCTAGCTCTTGGGTTCATTTTGGATGTCCAGTCGGAGAAGCAGAACTCTTACATGGTGGACGGTTAAGGATTAGCCATCAGTTTAGCTCTAGTACCACAAAATACGCCATTCTCCAATGTACCAAATTCATCTAATAATAGAGTATGTATTTATTAATCATTACCTTCATATCCACAATCTTCTCACAGTTAAAATGCATTCCTATAGAGTTATCGAGATTGAGAGAGAAAAAACATAGTGGACCAAACTAGTAGTTTCACAAAAGTTTGGGTAGCTCTGCCACTGTTTGACAAACAAAAAACAATTAAGATTAAAATAAATGGCAAATATATGAAATTAAATGTTTATCACATTTATTTGTAATTGCTATTATTTTATGGATCGATCCATCTACTCTTAGTCTTGATAGAAAGGGCATAAATTAAAGATCATTGATCATAAAGAGGAATCGGAAACAGACAGATAAAGAGTGATGTAATTAATGTATTAAATACTGCTAAAATGAAAAGATGGTTGAAAGGAAGTACCTCCAACTGTTCAACAATCTGCTTGTATTCTTCTCTGGTTTGTCTTTCATCCTCTTCTTTATACTATGTTAAGATTAGTTAAATAATAAATCAAGGGAAAGTGAAGTAAAAATGTATTGTTCAATCTTGTCAACTGCATTTTATATATATATAGAATTACTAGTGCATGAAGGAAAGTTTAGGATATGAAACTCATAAGAGAGATCACCAAACCTTTAAAAAAGTGGCTTTGAACTTCTCAGTAATTCCCTCCTCAAAAAGTTTCTTGAACCGTTCTGGCCATTTACCATTCAATTCTCTCTACAAATATATAATTCAAACAGAAATCTTTAATTACAAAGAAAAACCATCACTAGATTCAACTAAATTAACAATCAAAACAGAATAAATGAAGATTTTTTATCCACACAACAAATATATAATTCAAGTAAATATCAATCATATATTAAATATTTAATTAAAAAGAAAAACCATCACTGAATTCAACTAAACTAACTTGTGCATGACAATATACAAAGTTAACCTTACAGATAGTAAACAACTTTGCAAACTACCCTGTAAAACTCCAGACCTAGCTGCTTGGCCTCAAACACCCATCATCTGGTATTCTAACAACCTTTTTATCTCATCTACACACAAGGACAGAAACTGAACACAATCACTAATGGAAAACATATACATACAACTCTTTCAAGCTTCCTCTTTAACCACACAACACAAACTACTTGATGACCTGAATTAATTAAAAAATTCTGCTTTTTCTCCCATTGATCATTATGTAAGATCACCTCATTTCCATCATTCCAAATCAACCACATAATAAGTAACCAAGAAAACGAATAAAATAACTCATATAACATGAACAAATGAAATAATTTAATTTTATAGTGTTATATTTTATGTTAAGCCATTTTTTATTTTATATATTATAATTTATGTTATATTTACATGTGATAAAAAAAAAAAAAATTTTTGGCCCCACCCTTAAATCTTGGTCAAGCTCCATCCCTCCCACATTGGCCTGGTGCATTCAAGGAAATTGATTTCCTTAGGTGCTGGCCTCAAGACTTAAAACCTAGACTTGGCTTACAAGACAACACTTGCTTACCAATGGCTCCAACCCTTTTGAGTTCCTAACCTTAACATTATATATAACTATCAAACATCCCCATAGACAAAATGTAGACAACCAGCATCAACAGTATCAGTGCAAAACAGAGCTAAATCCCCTCCAAGAGTACAGCATCTCATCCAAAGATAAAGAGACTAAGTGCATTCTAGAAACAAATGGTTCTTATCCTCTCCATCAACACCAAGAAAAACAACAAATTTATCTAAGACCTCTTTTAATCAAACCATTAGGTCCACGTTTAAACGTTGACATAATTAATGCATCCAAAAAGATAAACAAAAGAAATTGAAAGAGGATAGACTCAAGATCAACTATTAATAAATTCTTCTCCACGTCTTTAGGGTTGTTGGGAGGTTGTGGAATTAAAGAATAAAAATCTTTGATGATAGATTGACATCAAACAGGGAAAATCTGTCCATTTTTCCTGTATTTTATTGTTGGGAATTTTGGGTGTGGTATGATGATGGATTGTTGTTGGTTACTTGGTACTGTAAATGGATTCTTGGACAATCAGTTTACCCAGCTTCAAAATGCTGCAAGATGAAAACAGTCCTAACTTCGTAGTTGAGGTTGTTACTCTCTCCATTTATGAATGTGAAAAGCTTATTCATAACATAGCTGGAGCTCTTATTATATTTGGGCCAGAAAGAAAGAACTATTATATTATTTTAAAAATAAGAAAACTGAGCTTGCTGTATTTTAGTGGTGTTAATTTTCTAATTACTTAGATATTAGAGCCCAAAATGAAAAGTATCATGGTTGGAACTTGGAAAGAAGTAAGGCACACATAATCTCACCTTGCGATGTTCATCAAGAAACTTTTCTACCCCCTGTGTCACATCCTTCATTTGACA